CTCTCTCTCTCTCTCTCTCTCTCTCTCTCTCACACACACACACACACACACACACACACACACACACACACACACACACACACACACACACACACCCTGTATCTAAAGCTTGCGGTGTTGATAAAGCTAAGCAGCTGTCTGAACTTAATCAGTCCTTATGCATCATGTGAGAACGAGATATGAAATTTATTTAAAGTGGCTGGGGGGGAGAGAGAAACAGCATTCCCTATGTCATATATAAGGAATCTGGGGAGGGGAGAATCTTATTTCTTCAGATTACGGATTTATTCGCGTGCAAGTATGCATGTCTATAATGAATAAAAATCAAATTCATGGTGGCAGCCATCTAGTTTGCCTCAATGCTGACACTCAAGAATTAGAGCAGCTTCAAAATTTCCAAGAAATGTGTTTCTTACAAACCCACCTTCTGGTGGAAGAAATCTGTGCAGGGTTGGATCCATTCCATGCTAGTGCGGAGTCTGAATTTGGAAATATCCTTTAGCTACTTACTTGTCTACATTTCTACCTCTTGTGAACATAGAGTGAAATCTGGTACATTGTGAACCAGAGAAAATTGCACAAAATGAATCGCTAGATGCACATTTCTACTACTTTATTTATGCAACTCACAGAAGTGATTGTGCAGGATTTTTTGTGTGTGCTTTAACTCTTCTCCGTAGAAGTTATACTAGAACAGAAGGCTCAGAAAGAGTTTCCAGAAAGTACTGGTTCTTCTTGAGGGTCATTTTTCCAAAATGGAATTTACAGAGATGACACATTCCTTTTCCATGACCAGCCTCTGCAATGTGGTTGATTTCAGCCTTGCGTCTTCGTTGCGCTGTTCACAGTCACCAATATCTTTAAATTTAGCAAACGAGAAGGGCCTTTCCCAGCGCCTCTGAATGGCCCAAGAGTGGCCCTGGATGAATAAATACGAAGGGTCTTCCATTCTCCCACCTAATTGCCAAGCATATTAGACTTTGCCTCGAAAGGATGCATCTCAACCAGTCCTCTTTAGGAAATCTTTTAAGAAAACATTTTTAATTTTTTTTTTAAACTCCACTTCTGCCCTGGCGCTGCTGAGTCTCATCTTCAGGTTCTGTCAATATCTCTTTCCTTGTTGATCAAATGTGGTGGTTCTTGTTTGTCAATTTAAAAAACAAACAAACAGCAAAGCAAAACAGGGCAGTGAACAAAGTAACACAACCGGCTGCTTTCTAAATAGTGTAAGAACAACAAACGGCCTCTGAAACACTATAGCAAGAAGCAGGAAGAAATCATTTTTTTGCAGAAGTAACTTTCCAAATGTTATGAGAAAATAACCACATGAATTGAGTTCAGCCCGCCCTTATGGTCTAGGAATTGCTTGCATCTCTCGAGGAGGGGGGAGTGGACCGTGTTCAGGGTTGAGAAGGTTGATACAAGGAGCAGTAAAAATGTACATGTTGATTTATCCCATTGAGTCTCAGTAGAGTCTCAGAATCATGCGGTTGGAAGGGGGCTCTAAGGCCATGAAGTCCAACCGCCGGCTCAGTGTAGGAATCCAACTCTCAGTGTGTTGGACGGACAGACGGATGGATGGACGGAGGGCTATTTCTCAGGCTAGCTGAGACAGAGATGCTGCCATCCACCCCATCATCTGCCGAGCACCGACTCCAGGAAGGCTGCCCAGAATGGGAACTTTGAGGCAGACAAAACAACATTCAAAACCCAGTTTCAGAGTCAGTAGGGAGCACAGCCTTAGATGTTGGTGTGTGAGTTTTGGTTTTTTTTTAATTATTATTATTATTATTTTAGAGTTACCCACTGCCTAATTCTGGAGACCGTTTTGTTATTCTTTTTTTCCCCTCTCTCTCTCTTGATCGTTTCAAAGATTTAGAGCAGAAATGAAATGGCATTTTGGACTTTTGCCAGACCTTTTCACCAGTTGTGAAGAGTTAGTTCCATGGTTTGGGAAAGGGCGAGGCTCAAATATTTGCAGCTGTACCTCCCAATAAAGTCCCATCATACCCTCCCCATTTTCTCTTCTCTTTCAGGAGAGGTCTTGGTTGATTTACCCTCATTCCAAGTGCTCTCTTTAATCTTAACGATTGAGGGTCTGACTCTGCTTTGGCTCAAAATTTCTCCAAGATCAGGCCAGGAGGCCCTTCTGAAGGTGCCATCCCTGGAAGAGGTGAGGGGGGGTGGCATGCCGAAATAAGGCCTTCTCGGCTGTTGCCCCCCCCACCCCAACTTTGGAACACCCTCCCTATAGAGATCCGCCTGGCTCCAACACATCTGGCTTTTCGGCGCCAGGCAAAGACCTTTCTGTTTAGCCAGCATTTTATTTAAATAGCGTTCTTTAGCTGGCCACATGAGCAGCAAGATTTATTAATATTAATGTTTTAATGATTGTTTTAAGTATAGGATATTATTATAATACAGTGGTGCCTCGCATACCGAGGTTAATCCGTTCCAAATTAACCCTCGCTATGTGAAAACATCGCTAAACTGAACGTAAAAATCCATTGGAACGCATTAAACATCGTTTAATGCGTTCCAATGGGCCCTAAACTTACCGTTCAGCGAAGTTTCCTCCATAGCGGCAGCCATTTTCGCGCCCTCGGTAAGCGAGGGGAGGGCGCGAAAACACTGTGCGCGGCCATTTCTGGGCTTCCGGCGGCCATTTTGGAACCGCCTAACAGCTAATCCGCGGGCATCGCAAAGCGAAGATCGGTAAGCGAAACGCTTACCGATCGTCACTATGCAAGTTTTGCCCATTGCGACCGTCGGTATGCCTCCGCATTAGCGATCCCAAAAAAGGGATCGCTATGCAGATTTGTCGTTATACGGTGTGCTCGTTAAGCGAGGCACCACTGTATTTGTCTATTTTTAATGGTTTTAATGTTTTTGAAGTTTTAATATTGTTGTGCATCGCTCAGAGACCACTGGTAATGGCGCAGCTAAAAAATCTTGTAAACAAATAAATAAAAGACAAAAATGTTTGGAAAGGTGGAAGGCAGCAGGAATAGAGGAAGACCAAACACAAGATGGACTGACCCCTAAAGGAAGCCACAGGTTTTTTTTTAATTTTGGAGATGGCTTGTTCATAGGGTCGCCGTGAGTCAGAAGCAACTTGATGGCACATGGCAATAACAAGAACAGTATGGGCGGATGGCTCCGATGTCGGGGCGGGGCACTGAAGCCTATCCGGGTTGTAGTCCAAACTTTAAAGGAACCATCACAAGGGGGCAGGCCCATATTGCACGGAAGGTCCAAGCACAACGGAGAGCTTTGACATTCAGACAAGAAGCCAGTGCGGATTCGTTGCCCCACCCCACCCCCGAAATCACACTCACCCGCTTCCACTGCTTTGTTGTGTGTTGCACTGTGTTGTGAGCTGCCTCGGAAAAAGCTATTTGCCTACCCTTGAAACCTGCCATATAAAGGGCAATACTATGCAGTAAAGAAGGGTGCTTCCCCCAGGATTATTCCCATGACGCCGATGCTTGCAGGGTGTCATGCGCAAAGTGCATGAGCCAACGGGATACCCTGCTTTAAAGGGCTCATGGAACGGCCAGCCTGAAGATGCTTGGAGTGAGCCAAAGTGTGGGTAAGAAATAACCCATAATCCAGGACCGTGGGTTGATATGATTCATTGGCCAGCACAGAGTTGGCCCTGAAGCAGTCCTTGGACTCTAAACATGTCCCTTCTTTCTAAATTATAGTTCGGAATCTGAGGCCACCGTTGGAAGAGATGCCAAAGAAGCTTTGATTGCCCGGTGATATCAGCCTCGCTTTGCCGAGCAGTGCGCATGGGCTTTTCACAAGGCAAAACCACAGAACAACTTGGCCGTTCAGGGATAAAGCTCTAAAACTGCTGACATGGGGGGGGAGGCATTTCCCCCTCACTTTCTTATTTTATTTTATTTTTCAACAACCCACTGGGGGTGCCTGCCGCAACTCAGCCGAGCCGGTTTTGTAGAGCCCAGTAAAGAAATCTTAGACTTGTGTTTCAGCCTAAGGACGTAACCATTATCATTTATAACCGCAGTGATAGAAGTATTTATTTGCTGCTTACTTATTTTGCCTGATAGAACCTCCCAAAGCAAGAGACAACTCGTAAAACACCAGCAGAATCGTATTGTTTAAAGGCAGAGCTATCTTTAAAAATGAAACTAAAAATTCATGTTAGTGCAAAAACGTGCTTATCCCTCCTTCCTTGTTAGTTTGTGGGATCGGCGGTCCACAAAAGTTCTTGGTTCTGCCTTTCCGTGGTGGCCAGCGAGAAATCTCCAGGCTTCTGTGTGATGTGGCAGCCGAGGGACTGATATTCCCAGGTATACTGCCTCTGACTCTGGAGGCTTTATTGCAGCAGTGTGGCTAAACAGTCACCGCTAATTTTATTTTTTCCCACCTCTCCTTGTACCCTCCCTTGAGCCGAGCGGCAGCTAGCCTGTTCAGACAGTCTGGACCGTACCCCAGCCCTTCCTAAATTGGGAGCATCTGGGCTGGAGAGCCCTGCGGTTTAGGTTGGGAGTTCGATTTCCCCACGGCGTGTCTCCAGGGAGAAAAGCCAGCCTGGGTGGCCTTGGGCAAGCTGCACGGTGATCCCAGAAGGAAATAGGAAAATACTGTCGAGTACTCTCTACTTGGAAACCCTAGAAAAGGGTCACCGCAAGTTGGAATTGACTGACCCATGATTCTCTCTCTCTCTCTCTCTCTCTCCCCAGCTGTTTGATGCCCACGATCTGTACACAGGAGACCATTTCTCCCAGGTAGTGACTACTCTGAAGGCTCTCAACAAGGCCAGTGAAGGTAAGGCGGGGAAAGGTTGGGTTCATGCTTAACGACTGCGGTGTGTATCTCTAGAGCCATGGTCCTCAACCATGGGTCTCCCCTAGATGTTCTCGGACTACAACTCCCAGAACCCTTCACCACTAGCGGTGCTGGCTGGGATTTCTGGGAGTTGTAGTCCCAAGAACATCGGGGTGACCCATGTTTGGGGATTCTTGCATTCTTACATGAGTTGGACGTTCCAGGTCCTTGGAGTTGTGTTTCACTTCTGCTTCAGAGTCAAGCTATACACCACTAGAAGGGGGAAGCCATGTGCCCGGATCCTTCCCCCAGCTCTGCTTATAGAAAGCTAGCAGATCAGGAAGAAGGCTGGTCCAGAGCCCATCTCCAGCGGCTTCTCCTAGTGCTCCATCTGGCGGCATCCGAGAAAAAGGGGAGACTGTGTGTGCCCCACACCTCTGTCAGCCTGGCTGGGAGCAACCACCATGTGGCTCATCCCCATCCAGAATGGCCACTTACTTGCTTCTTTTCTCCCCATAGAGCCATAGAGCAATGGAGCAGGAAGGGACCCTTAAGGCCATCCAGTCCAACCCCCTGCTCAAGGCAGGAACCCAAATCAAAATATATCTGACAGATGGCTGTCCAGATTTCTCTTAAGTGCCTCCAGCACTGGAGCACTCACCGCCTCCCAAAATTGTTGGTCCCATTGTCGTACTGCTCTTACAGTTGAGACCTTTTTCCTGATATTCAGCCGAAACCTGTCGCTTGAGCCCCATTATAGCTTCCTTGTGCGTGTGGCCTCCCTCCCTCCCTGCATGGAGCGGTTCCAATATTACACGACATTAAAAACCCTGTTGACTACATTAAAACAACACAAAGCTGTTTAAAACTATTTTAAAACCAAGTTGAAAGTTAAACAGGCCGTTAAATGTCATGGAGGCAGAAGGCACAGAAAGACCAAAAAGTCCCCCCTTCCTCCCCCCCACCCCAAACCGTTCACTGATTCATTCCACGGAGTGCTCAGTGAGCAAAAAATATATTTGTACTTCTGGAGCCAGCGTCTATTCATAGAATCCCATCAGATGCAATCAAAATGTCTCTCCAGCAACAAAACGCGACATGGCATCTACATTTCAGCGTCTGCATTTCATCGCAACTTAAACATTGATTCCACTGTCCTTTACCAGCCAGGCAGCTCCATATGAACCACGGAGCTTGCCAGATCTTTGAGATGCGTCAGCGCTATAGGGTTTTCTGACTTTCTCTAGCAATTGCGCCAAGTTGGTGTGAGTTTGTTTCTTTCTCTCATTTTAGTTTTAAAATATTATTTTTCCTCCATTCTATTCTGCTGCAGTGTATGTAGTCACTGTTTATTTATTGGAATTTGAAACCTCTAGTCTGTGGTGCCCCTTCCTCTTTTTTTTTTTGCATCCTATCTATCCATCAGTTTGGGGGACGATTCCACACACACACACACACACCCCATATCCATAGATCCAAGTGTTCCCCCCCCCATGGATGCAGAAAAACATGAATTAGACATAGCATGGCCTCTGACTCCCTCTAGTGGCCACTTCTAGCAACTTCACCTTTAGAAATATACATTTCTACGATTTTTCTTTAAATATTTTTTCCCACTGCCGTTGTAACGATGTCCTGAGTCTTGTCCTGGGCAGAGTTCCCAGAAGGGACCAGAAAAGATTTGGAGCATGAAAATAGAATTTCAGAGAACGGAGTAGAGCGAGAACAAAGCTGGGAGGGGGGAAAGGTCTACAGTGTGGTTCCAGCAAACGGCTGAAGCCACTTGAATGCATTAATAGGGGGGGACATGATTTTTCAGGTGTCCTAGCTGTGTCCACACCAGGGAAGGTATAAAATAGGTTTTTTAATGAGTGATGCTCAGTTTTGGATAGATGGGTTACAGAGACTCTTCTATGAGTTTACGAGCTGAACAGATGCTCTGTGGTTCGGACGCAAGCTTGATTCAGTCCTGGTTTGGTCTTACTGATCCAGATCCTCCCTTGCCTGATCCCAAACCCAGATCCAAATCAAGATTTGGAAATCCAGATCCCCCTTCTTTCTCTTGACCTGTCCTGGGAAATGAGGACAGCCGTCACACTCTCGTGCTCAATGGCTCCAGAACGAGATGATGTGAATCCCTGGTCTTCATCTAGATGGGCCCACCTTGATCCAGAATTCAACCCAACCTGTGCAGCAAGAGCTTCCAAAACAAGCCACCTGGGCCCCTTATTCTTGAGAAAGAGCCATGATTTCAAAAGGATGAGAAGAAAGATTAACAAGGTTTCCCCCACCCACCCAAAAAATTAAAACCGAGCAGTTGGAACAGAATGATCAGTGCAAGGTAGACCATCTTTTCTGCATCATGTGGCAAGCTGTCTTTGGCAGGGTGCCACGGCGGGGGAAGAATAAGGTGGGCGGTTGTTAACACGGTGGCACTCTAGCAAGCATCTTCTCTCAGCCAACACATTGCGGAAGGCTTTACATTTGGTCTTTTTCATATCCATCTCGGTCTGAGAGGGGTCAAGTTCCAAAATGGTGCATATTAGTGGCCAGATGTAGGAAGTTGCCGTCCCTGATATGCTTCAGCAGGGGGTGGCTTTGGGAGGGAGGGAGATGGAGAAGGAAGGAAGGAAAGAAGGAAAGAAGGAAAGAAGGAAAGAAAGAAAGAAAGAAAGAAAGAAAGAAAGAAAGAAAGAAAGAAAGAAAGAAAGAAAGGCTATAATCACTCCACTTATAGCATCCTAAGATCTTTTCCCACGGGCCCCCAAACCAAAAACAGCGACCAGCAGCTCCCAGCAAATGTCAGCCTGTTTTTGCGTTTTCCTGCCGTGTGGGTTTTATGTACCCGGTTGTCCTGCCAAGCACTCAGCTCCCTGTTCGAAGAGGAAAACACAGAAAGCCCTGCACCATTAGATCGGCTGTGGGCAGCTTCTCCTTTCCTCCTCCTCCCCCTTCAAGCCATCTTTGCGGAAGAGCAGGAAGGCTCTTTGCGGAGTATTCTTTCCACCCTTCCTGGGCATGGCGGAAGTATTTTATTTTGCTCCGCTTTCCATAGCCATCTAACCTATAAAGCCCTTAATGGTTTATTGTTCCTACTTGCCACCAGGTTGCCCTCCATTTATGGCAACCCCCTGATGGAGTGGTCTCCATCATATCGTGTCCTCAGCTGCCCTGCTCAGCTCTTCCAAACTCCAGCAGGTGGCATCTTTTAAGAAGTCATTCTATCGCTGCCCTGCTCAGCTCTTCCAAACTCCAGCGGGTGGCATCCAACAGGAGTCATTCTATCTCGTATTGGGTCTTCCTCTTTTCCTCCTGCCTTCCACCTTTCCCAGCGTCATTGTCTTTCCCAGAGAATCCTCTTGCCTTCTCCTGATGTGCCCAAAGTAGGACAGCTTCAGTTTCGTCATTTTTACCACCAGAGATTCAGTAGGACAGCTTCAGTTTTGTCATTTTTACCACCAGAGATTCTTCAGGCTTGACTTGATCTAGGATCCACTTGTTCGTCTTTCTGGCAGTCCAGGGTATCCACAGAGCTCTCCCCCAGCACCACAAACAGATGAGACAGACAGACAGATGATTGATAGATAAATAAATATCTTTTCCCTTGACACAGATCGGAGATTCGTCCAGCCATGCACAAACCTGCCACCTCTTAATTCTCCTGTGGGTGTCCAGCCGCCCCTGATGCAAGCCAACTCTCCTAAATCGCCAACCGGCAGCCAGTCCAAAGCAGTGGTAAGTCTTTTTCCAAAAATAAACTTAGGGGGATGCGGTGAAGAGGCAAGAAGAGCCAAGCCAAGAGTGTTCTTGTGTTGCCCAGCAGCTAAGCAAAAAGCCCAGTAACTTAGAAAATTCTCAGTCTGAATCTTACCGTCTGCCTTCGCCAACGGACCAGCTCAATGTGCTCCCTCTCATCTTCCGTCCCCCTCCGAGCTGCAATAATAACATTCATCTTCCTTGTATGATTGTTGCAAGAACTCCGCCTCGTTCACAGTTTGGAAACTTTGCTGTTTTTGCACTCCAGTACCCAGAGTTCTCCAGCCAACGTGGTCATAGTCATACTGAGGTTGGAAGCAGGGGTGGGATTATGGAAATGTCCGTCCATAGCATTTCAAAGGGCTGAGCCATAGCAACACCTGCAAAGCCCTTTGAAGAGTCAAAGCTCTAAACCAGAGGTTCCCCCACCTGGGGTGCACAGAGGTGCTTGCATGGCGAGTCCCATTAATCCCGGCCAGCACAGCTGGTGGTGAAGGCTTCTAAGAGTTGCAGTCTAAGAACCTATGTGGATCCTATGAGGGTCCAAAGGTCTAATTAAATCTTTTAGCACGTGGTCAATGCTAGCTTGAAAAGCTTGAATTGCGTTTTGGGCCAAGAGAAGCCCAATCAGAAGGGTTGTCAAGACCGTTGCCCCCCCCCGGGGAGGTTTTGGTTCTGGAATGTGATACCGTAGACCACGGTATCTTCTGGGGATCGATCCCACTCGCAGTCCGTGCGGCCTCTCCCCCTGGCCCTCTCTTCAAAACATACAGCACCTCTCTCTTTCCATGTGTACTATTTTGTTTGTTGCTCTCGTGACCCCTCTGGACATTTGTTTCCTCCAGATGACCGAAAACGGGACTCACCAACTGGTGGTCAAAGCCAGGTTCCACTTCAAGCAAACCAACGAGGATGAGCTGTCCATCAACAAAGGGGACATCATTTACGTCACCCGCGTCGAGGAAGGGGGCTGGTGGGAAGGCACTCTGAATGGGAAGACAGGGTGGTTCCCCAGTAACTACGTCAGAGAAATAAAATCCACTGGTAAGAGAAATGTACCGTATTTTTCCATGTATAAGACACCCCCATGTATAAGACGCCCCCACTTTTCTAATCCAAAATTAAGAAATCTTAAGTGGGGCTTAGCAAGTGTAGGGGGAAAGGGATCAAAGCGCTGCAGGATCGCTTTGATCCCTGCTTTCCCCTCCACTTGTTTTTGTTCTCTCCGCAGCTTACTTCCATGTATAAGACGGCCCTCAATTTTTAGTCTAAAGATTTTAGACAAAAGAATAGTCTTATACACTGAAAAATACAGTATTTCCGCTCATACTGTGCCTGATTTCTTCGTTTCCTCTTCTCCTCCACCACTAATTCTGCTTTTCAGGTCGTAGGTACACTGTGTATGCCGGACAACTTTAATATAAAGGTGAAAAAAAAAACCTTTTACAACCTGAAGACCAGACTCAGTTTCAAAATAGGATTGGACTCAACAGTCTTCCAACTTCATGATTCTATGATATTAGAATCATAGCGTGTGGGTCATCTTCAGTATGTCTAGAGAGACGAACCTATTTTAAATTAAACTCTTGTTTATTTTATTTGTTTTATTTACAGGGTGCCTTTTTCCCCGATAAGGGGACCCAATGCGGCTCACGATATTAAAAAGCATAGAGTTAAAAACATAATCAGTCAAACCTTTATAAAAAGAATAGAGTTAAAAACATAATAAGTCAAACTTTTTAAAACAATGAAACCGTGCACTAATTAAAATACAATTTAATAATTCAAAGCAAGTAAACTTGGGAAACGATCTTAATTTTTAAAGAGACATTCAGGGGCTCGGTCCTGAGTGTTAAAGGCCTGCCTGACAAGGTGGGTCTTCAGCTGTCGGCGAAAGAAGGATTAAAGAGAAGGGGAACAGCCTGACCTCCCGAGGGAGAGCTTGCCAGAATGCGGGAGCTACCAGGGAGAAGGCCCTGTCTGTTGTCCCCATCAGCCACGCCTGCGATGGCAATGGGATTAAGAGAAAGGCTCCTCGGATGAAGCATTGCAGTCTTTTAATAACAGGGAAAATCCGGTGCAAAGACATGGGAGACCATGCAATGATGTCAAGCGAAAGATGGCGTGCCTTTCTGCGGAAGTCCGGAGGTCCATTTCAGGACCCAGGACCTCAGTCCCCCACCCACCTTAGCGAGTGAACTTTAGTTAGCCTTTCACTATCCTATAAAGCCCAGAGAATCAGACAGTTTCCCAGAAATGGCAGCTGAGGCCATACTGTAGTCTTTTCATACACTCACTGAACATAAAGGTAAAGGTTCCCCTTGACATTTAGTCCAGTCATGTCCGACTCTAGGGCACAGTGCTCATCCCCGTTTCCAAGCCATAGAGCGAGCGTTTTGTCCAAAGACAGTTTCCGTGGTCACGTGGCCAGCGCGACTAGATACGGAACACTGTGACCCTAGACACGGAACGCTGTGACCCTCCCACCGAAGTGGTATCTATTTATCGACTCGCATTTTTACGTGCTTTCAAACGGCTCAGTCGGCAGGAGCTGGGACAAGCAACGAGAGCTCCCTCCGTCGCATGGATTCGATCTTATGACGGCTGGTCTTCCGACCTTGCAGCCCAGAGGCTTCTGCAGTTTAACCCGCAGCGCCACCACAAACATATCATTGAGCATAGATATGTTTTAAACAGATTGTTCCAGGCCCAGATTCTGGTGTGTTTTTTTTCTCCCCCCCCCCTTTTTCCTTCCGTCTCTCTTGGTCCCGGTAAGGCACAGAACGCTTGTCCTTGTTCCTTGAAACGGAAACAGAGAGTTCCAGTTTTTTCAGCTGGCTTTGAAGAAACAAGAGGGAGCAGATGGTCCCCGGGAGCTGGCAACACACCGCCCGTGATCACAAGCCCTCTTGGTCCCATGTGACACCACATCGGACAGCAAGCCTCCCGTGGAGGTGGGTCCACTTTGCCCGTCCTAGCTGACCGTTATCTCCACGGCGGGCTGTGATTGGCCCCAGGGTGGTCGTCACATGGCGGTCATCCTTCTTGCACCGCTGAGATGTAAGAAGGCCTGGAGGGTCCTTCATTTGACTCAAGTGTAGGCATGCTTCCAGGCCTCCCTTGAAATGTCATGAGTGAGGAGAATCATTGCCGGAGGAAAAAAAGCAAGAAACAGACAGAGCTTCCATCCTTGTGCAGCTGATTATCACATGCTGCTTTTGCTTCTGTGCATCAATGGCACAAGTTACATATTTATGGAGGCTTTCTTCCACCCATCCCCGTTCCTCAATTCCTCAATTCCGCAACACCTCCTGCCTTCTTATTCCCAAAATTAGATATTATTTTTTTTAAAATTATTTAAAATATTTTTAAACTCACCTTTCTCCTTAAAAAGAACCCAAGGCAGCTTACAACATTTAAAAGACAGTGTTTAAAGTCACTAACAAAAACTACGGTTATTGGAGGATCAGTGAATCTACGCAACACCAAAATGCGTTCAATGCAGCAAAATATACCTCTGTACAAATCACAGCATCAGGTCTTTCTGCATTGTTTCAAAAGATAGACTGGAATCTCCTTGGGATCAGGGACCTCTCTGTAGTAGGGTTTCTGTAAATTTTGCAAACTGTGTGTGTTTCGTTCAGTGCCTCGAGATCTCACCTTCTTTTATGTTTGCCTGCAGAAAATATTGTAAGTTACAACTGCACGGTTATAATAAAATCAGTACCCATATTTTTTTAACGATTAAAACAAAAACCCAAAATACATATCTATATGAAGATGCTATGGATTAAAAATTACAGTTTGGTCAAATTTAAGAAGGAGTTCACCACCAGTGCCCGACAGATAATGATGTAGCCACCCAGCCAGCACAATAGACTGGCACTTGAGAGAGGACTTCAGAAAGTTGACATACATGAGACTAAAGGGCCCATCCAGACTGGCCGTTTTGGGGGTGTGGTGGATTGGGTCCTCAAAGGGTCTGTTGAGGGGAGGAGCAATGTGCCATTTGGCGGGCTCCTCCTGTCCGAACAGCAAACAACCCCTTGTAGCCCAATCAAGCTGTCAATAAAGCACTTCCCCTGATCCTCTGTGGAGGGTCAGGGGAAGTGACATTAATTTTCTGTACATTGCTCCTCTCTCCCTCTGTTGGCGGTGTTTTGTTTTCTCCCTTCCCTCCTTCCTTTCCCTCCATTTTCTCTCTCAAACTCTCCCTTAGAACCTGCAAGCTGCTGGAGGCTGCTCTCTCCCAGCGAAGCAATGAGCACGCCAAAAAGAATGCATGCCCTACCGCTGGGGCAGAAAGATGAGTGGCAGCTCTTAAAGTGGAAGGATGTATCCTTCTGAGTAGAAACACTTGTGGACAAGGTGTTTTTGCCTCTCCAATCCAAACTGTGCCCTCAGCAATTCCATATGCCAGTGTGGACAGCCAAGGGGCGGGTGAAGCGTGGATGTAGAGCCACTTACCACGGGCTGGGTTGTTTTTGCAGTCCTCATTCCAGCTCCAGACCCCTCTTTTCCTGCAGAACAAGGGGGACGAACGGGCGGGTGAAGCGTGGATGTAGAGCCACTTTCCACGGACTGAGTTGTTTTTGTAGTCCTCATTCCGGCTCCAGACCCCAGCAGAACAAGGGGGGCGAACTCCTGATTCGGAATCTCCAGGAACAGCTGTTTGTCTTTTCAAACATTACAGATGTTCCACAGCATTTGACACCTTAAAATACCTTTTGTTTTTCAGACAGGAAACTGACTTCTAGCCCCTTCTGGTTTGTTTGGTTCTCCCCCCCTCCGTGCCCCATTCTTGACATCTGCATGGCATATTCCCTTCCCCCAGAGGACCCTGGAGGCAGAAAAATGGCCCCGAATCACCAAAATCACCCAATTTTTTTACTTACACAAGATGAACTACTTTGCGCTAGAGCTTGGGAGTAACTCGAGAACCGTAATGATTTTACTGCTTTGGGGTTTGTAACGAGAAGCTGCTGTTTGTCGTTACGAGCTGTCGGGTTGCCTCCGACTTATGGCGACCCATGAATGAGCCGTCTTCAAAATGCCTTGTCCTCAGCTGCTCAGCTCAGCTTTTGCAAACTCAGTCTTGTGGTTTCCTTTAAGGACTCAATCCATCTCGTGTTTAATCTTCCTCTTTGCCTGCTGCCCAAGGTCTTTCCCACAGTTTAATATTATGATGAACAAAGTCTTGATTATTTCCCCGGCATTATAGGTGAGGCCCGGGAGGAATTTTTTTAAAATCCCTTTTCTGGTTTCAGCCACACCAGCAGAGGGGTGTACCGGATGCTATAAATTTAAAAAGAAGTAACTTTTCTGAGTTCTGTGCATTCCACGCTCTCTGTAAGCGCCACCCACCCCCTGCAGACATTTGAATGATAATGCTGCCATTGGGGCCAGCAGCGCATCCTAAGTATGATGAAGTTGCTTTTTTAAGCGACACCTATCAGCCCTGCCGTTAAAAGATCCATTTCTTCTCTGTTGTGGTTGTTTCCGTTTTGCTGAAGATGCCAACATGACTTCCCTTTCCCTTCAGACAAAAAAAAGAGCAATTCTATGTAACCATTTCCATTGTTTCGTCTCCAGATAAGCCTTTGTCCCCAAAAGCGTTGAAAGGAGGCGAAAGCCCACAGCTTACAAAGAATTACTATACTGTGGTAAGTTCGTAAAATTTTCATTATCACTCAGCGCTATTCCTTAGAACAAATGTTTGCCATTCATCACTTTTTGAAATTGATTGCAAGCCTGTAAACTGCGTCTGTAATTTCAGAAATGAAACATGTAGATTATGTGTGTTTGCTATTCTAAAATAATACGAATCATTGCATGCTGTCAAGTCAGTTCTGTCTTATGGCAACCCATTTTTCCCCAGGGTTTTCTAGGTAGAGAGTCCACAGAAGTGCTTTACCCTTTCCTTCCTCTAGGGGTGCTGTGGGACTGTGTGCAGCTGGCCCAAGGCCACCCAGGCTGGTTCTTCTTGCAGGAAGCCCAGTGGGGGAATCGAACGCTTAACCTCTGGCTCTGTCTCCACTACTGAGCTATCCAGCCAATGCTGTTTTTAAGGTGCTGCATAAATACTGTTGCAGTGAAGTTTGTATCTGAAGAAACCAATATGTGACCTTAGCCCAGGGTTGTGTAAAACGCAACTGGTGTGGGAAACGTGGGCCCTCGAAGCAGCTTTTGCAAGATAACAAACAATTAAGGGGGGAAATGTGGGTCTTCCCCCCTGCTCCTTGGAGGCCTTTCTCGCAAACAGCAGCGTCATGGAGCCAGAATTCACAGCGTAACCCTGACTCACAGGGACTGTCACATCACAAGGAGATCCTTAATCTCCCAGTTTATCATTGCACACCCTTGCCAGCAAGCCAGTGAGAGCCCCCACCAAATAAATAAATCTGGAGATAAATTAGCCACTTCTGTTATCCCTCTTTAGGTCTGACATTCCTTTTTATTCAGATCCCATTTCCATAGTCGTTGCTGCTTTGGCCCACCCTCCCCGTTTAAAAATAAAAAATCTGCCTGACCCACTGCCAGTGAGATCCCCCTGTGCCATGTGGGTGAGTTGATGCATCAGTTGCGACACTGATGAGGAAGGGAAAATAATGTTCCCAAAGAGGACCCAGTGCAGTGGAATACATTGACATTTCCAGCCCATGTGTTCTGCGGTGCTGGCTTCCCTCTCTCTCGGCATTTCCGGCATGGACGATCTGCTCTGAATAAAAACAGAAAGGCCGGATTCTGGAATCTGAGAGAGAGGGAGGGAGGGAGAGAATCTCAAACCAACCTCACTTTTTGACTTTTAAAATACTGGCGTGTGAAGAGCTGCCTCAGCAGGGCTGCCAGAGGTGGCCGTGTGCAGTGGAAACAATTTTATTATTAGAAGTGGATGTAAAGGGGTTTCTGCTTGTGTATGCAAAATTCTGGAGGAGCAGCAGTAGCTTTACCTTTGCAGCTGGTTTGGCCCAGGAAGGAATGAATCAGCCCTTCCTTTTCTCTGAATAAATGCCCAGGCACTCTTGGTTGACTGAAGAGAAGGGACCTGGGGGCGGGCCGGGGTGAGGATTTCTTTCCCTTTGTTGACGTTCCTTGCTTTTTCAAGGATTCTGTACTGTGGCCGAGACGACACAGTCAAATACGGTGGGATTTGCTGCAGTTTATAACACAGATATACCGGATCTAATTTTTTTTTTACTGATCACATGACGCAAAAGCCTATTTGAAACAGTCCAATTTTCCTCCCAGCGCAAAGTTTTTTCTCTGCCACCGGGGGCTTCTGTGGCTTTTCAAGCCATAACCATTCAGTCGGACTTTTTTCTCCCACATGATCAGTTGTGTTGTCCTGCAAAGGTGTGGGTGGGTGGGTGTTCCGGTGATGTAGGCAGTCGGGGCGTGATGTCTCGGGACTGCAGGGACACCCCCATCCTCATGATCTGTCCCTCTGAGTGTCCCTTTAATAAATGGGTCTAGCACTGAATCATTCCATTGATGCATTGATATACTAGTTTAGCGCTAGATCGCCTCAGCGCAGAAACAAAATGGCGGTGCAAAAGAAACAATCCCAACAAGATACAAAAGACTCTGGTTGTTTCTGCAGTGTGTGTGTGTGTGTGTGTTTCTGCGTGTGTTGTGAAGAACTTTGGAGCGTGGCTGCCTTTTTCTCTAACACTGTGCAGCCCTTTAAAAACCAAGTGGCTTGACAGTGAACCACAAAAGGATCAGCAGGGGCAGGAGGAGAGGAAAGAAAGCAGGAAGGGAGAGTCTGTGGACTGAAATGTGCACCATATCCTCATGTAAACACTGGATCTGAATCCATTCACAGCCGCGTGTGATCACTCACTGTGAACTGAAGTGGATGATGAGCTGCGAATAAAACCACCATGTACCCACAGCCTAAGCAGCACCGTTGAATTGCCTTTTTGAACTCACCTCTTCCTGGAGGAAGCAGGAATTTTATTTCAGTGAAGTCTCCTCTCTTTTTCCTTTTTTTTTTTTTCTTTTGTCTCTCCCAAACCACACTGCTCCTGCCCAGGCTAGGAGCAGAAGCACCCAGAACCGTCACCATCCCTGTTTCAGAAAACCTGGAGATTAAATTTAGATGGTGCGCTAGGCAAAAAGGGTACATTGAAGCCAAATTATGAATATTGGCCAATGGTAGGAAAAATATGGAGTCTGCCATCTGATACAGTCTTCTTGAGTGGTGGCAAATCTTGTCAGTTTCTTCCCTGAGCAGATATTCATGGAGTTTTCCAGATCAAAACATGGAGGGTAGCCATACTACAACGTTTTAACAGTTTGATCCCACTTTAAATTACTTGGCTACATCCTTGTACAGTGTTGCCTCTGAAGACGATGTTAATTCATTCCGCGAAAAATGCCGTCTTGTGAAAACATTGTCTTGCGAAACGCGGTTCCCCATTGGAATGCATTGAAATCTAATTAATGCGTTCCAATGGGAAAATAGTCGCTTTGCGAAAATTGTCCATAGGAAAACATCGTCTTGCGAAGCACAATAGGGATCGCAAAAACCAATCATCTTGCGGCTTAATCGTCCCGCGAGGCAATCGTCTTGCGAGGCACCACTGTAATTAGTTCTTTCTGTCTCTCTTGCTCGCTTGCTTCAGGTACTTCAGAATATTCTGGAAACAGAACAAGACTATGCAAGGGAGCTGCAGTCCCTTCTGAGTACCTACCTGAGGCCTCTTCAATCCTACGACAAGTAAGATCACTCTCATTCTGAGTTCAGATTGATTTACGAGAGATTATTCGTTGATTGACGTAGCCTCCCGGGAGAACACAGCCAGAGTTTAAAAACTTAGTGGTAGTACTAAAGTTATATCATCGAAGGAATCTAATTTATTAACATTAAAATTTTTGGGGGGAGAATCTTACAATATTAATTGGTTGCTTACTCTCTTAATTAGTTTGCTAAATCATCCTGCTGGAAACGATCGTTAAGAATAACAAACAGTTGCCCGTAATGATTTAAAATAGCAGGAAAGATAAAACATTAAGAAGATCTTAGTAAAGTGGATTTGTTGCTTACTTTTTTAAATTAATTTCTTAAATCATTTTATTGGAAGCTGTCATCTAAAATCATTGCACTAGCAAAACTAAAGCTGCAGGAGACATGAATCTCTGCTCTGAAAATGAAAGAAATTCAGCATTTAACAATTAAAATGACAAATTTTAAAAGCATTGAAGAAAATGATAAAGACAAGAAATTAATTTTTGATGAATTAATTTCAACATTGGCTCATACTTGGTTTCGCCATCCATCACAGCCGGGGCTGACAGATTTGTCAATGTTTTAACTATTCAACTTTCTCTGCATCTAAAAATCATTACTGACAAAATTGCTTTTGAAATTGCTTCCCCTCCAAACCTCTTGATTTCATCCTAGCCTTTGAAATGCTATATTTCTCCTAAATCTACCCTCTGAGTGGGCAAAAGAATTGTCCCACGGGGAGAAAAATCCACACAATAACAAAAGCAGGCGTGAAACAAAGACACAAGTTAGACTAACAAATTTATTTCCCTGCGAACAATAAAGTGTTATTCTAGTCTATTATTTTAATAGTGAACACTAGACATGGCATGGTCTCTGGCTCCCTCCAATGGCCAGTTCTGGTAACTTCAGCTTTAGAAATATATACAGTATTTCTAGGATTTTTCATTCAACCTTTTAAATATATTCAGAATGTGGATAAATGAATCAGCAGATGCTGATCAAGATAAGGTACTTCTACGGTACTTCAATCTTTGCTTTTATTGTTGATGAAACAGATGAACCTCCTTAAAAATCATACTAGTGCTTCACCTAACTGGAACTGTGGATTGTGAGATTGCATGAAACAGGACTCTTTGCAGTGACTGTTTACATGCGGTTTTTCTTCCCCTCCTGATGCCCTTGTCGATACTTCCAGGCTGAGTGCCGTCGACACTGCGTCTCTACTTGGAAATGTGGACGAGCTCTCCACCTTTCAGCAAACGCTCAGCCAGGCATTGGAAGATTGTGCTAAGTAAGTAGCAGCTGTCCTATCTGGGAATGTTTTAATTATTTTATCCCCAGTCCACGAACTGAGCGATAACGGAGCTGAGTAAGGGCGAAACCTTCCCTCATCTCTGGAATTTACTTAGGGGCACTAGTCCAGCGCTTGTCCCTTTGCAGGGCTTGACTCCAGCGATTAGGCAGAGCAAGGTTGGCAGCGTCTCTAGGGACCGCCCTCCATCTCTTCTTCCTGAGATTCTTGGCTGTTCCCGTCTCTTGGAGGACAAAGCTGTGTGTTCACCACAACCCACGTAGCTAGTCTTCTTCCTTCATTCGTGGACTAGATCGTAGTGTTTCTGTTGAATTTCGGAAGTGTAGAATTGGAACTGGCACCTAGACAACAACCCCCTGCCAATAGGGGACATCTCCACCTAAAGTCTCCCAAATTGAGGGCCGTCCAACTTCTCCAGCTAAGGAGAGGCCACCTGCCTCTGAGGCCACCATTCCAACTGATAGCTCTTACTATCAAGAAAACTTCCCTAGCATTTAGTTAAAATATCCTTTGTCGTCATTTGAACACATTGGTTTGGGGCCCTACCCTATGAAGCAACCCAAAAAATATGAGCTTGCTCCATCTTCGGATACCCAATGGAACCAATCATCTCACCCCTCAATCTCCTCTTCTTCCAATAAGTGTACCGAGATCCTCAACGGTTCCTCATAATGTTTGGTTTCTAGAACCTCATCACTCCCTCCAATCTGGCCCTGTTCTGCCAATATCTTTCTTCAACGTTGGTGGACACAAAAGTAAGGTTCAGCCCCGGTCCATTTGATTGAACGAGCGGGTTGGTAGGGGCATTTTGCCCTTTGTCTCAGGCTTCAAAGTGTCTTAGGCCAGCGCTTGGCCTCAGTTGCTAATATTCCATCTTGTAGATGGGGTAAGGAGCGCTGGGCCTAAAAGACTTGGCTAAAGCTGTACAGTAGCGGTGTATGGAAGTGAGAGCTGGACCATAAAGAAGGCTGGCCGCTGAAGAATTGATACTTTTGAATTGTGGTGCAGGAGGAGGCTCTTGAGAGTCCCCTGGACTGCAAGGAGAACAAACCTATCAATTCTAAAGGAAATCACCCCTGAGTGCTCATTGGAAGGACAGATCCCGCAGCTGAGGCTCCAATACTTCATGAGAAGAGAAGACTCCCTGGAAAAGACCCTGATGTGGGGAACGTGTGAAGGCAAGAGGAGAAGGGGAGGACAGAGGACGAGATGGCTGGACAGTGTCATCGAAGCGACCAACATGAATTTGACCCAAACTCTGGGACGCAGTGGAAGACAGGAGGGCCTGGCGTGCTCTGGTCCATGGGGTCACGAAGAGTCGGACACGACTAAACGACTGAACAACAACAAAAGCTGTACTGCTCAACCTTCAACTGAGATATGAATCGTGAACATCCCAGACCATGGCTTAACGACTAAACAACAACAACAAAAGTGTACTGCTCAACCTTCAACTGAGATGTGAATCGTGAACATCCCAGACCATGTCTGGTTAAAGTGAGGTTCTGGAACTTTGGGTTCTACAGATTTTGGGGGTGGGCTTCAACTTTTGGAGTTGGGCACACTGGCTAAAGCATCTGGGGACAAGACATACAACAACATCCAATGGAGGACCCGTACTCTGAAGCATGAGGCCATGCAATCCCTACCCTGTGGTCTGAAATCCTCCATTCTGTTATCACCCGCAGGCTTCCAGAGCATCAGCAGAAAGTGGGAGGCTGCTTCATGAACCTGATGCCACAGTTCCGATCTCTGTACCTCGCCTACTGTGCAAACCACCCAACAGCGGTCAATGTCTTGACCCAACACAGGTAAGGGCCAAAGAAAATGCAGATTCAACAAGTATTAAAAATTGCAGCCGTGAGATAACATAAGCCACCATACCATTGCAAAAACCGCTGATATAGTATGATTTCAGATATTTTGGGTGCAATCAGAGGGTCATTTTTCTCAGGTTTCGCTGCTCGGGGGGGGACAGTGGCGATCTTATGGCTCGCGTGCCTGCAGAAAGGGTTCTGCATGCCACCTGCGACACGCGTGCCCTAGGTTTGCCATCACCCCCTTAGGGTCAATAAGAGAATGACTATAAACATTCCTGTTTAAATGTTTCCAAATTGCCCTTGAAAAAATAACTTTCAAGCACTCATTGCATCAGGGAGGTGAGATTTCCCTACTCATCATTTTGCTTTGTAAATTGGATTTTTATTGTGCCCCGAGTCATCAAAAACAAAAGCAGGTTTCTTACATTACCTGCTACTTCTGAGATCCAAGAACAGCCGCATTGCCCCACCTCTTGTCTGTTTGTCCTGTAGTGACCAGCTGGAGAAGTTCATGGAGCTTCAAGGGGCCACCTGCTCGGGCATCCTCACCTTAACCATGAGCCTCAGCAAGCCGTTCACACGGCTGGACAAATACATCTCCCTTCTACAAGAACTTGAGCGCCATATGGAGGTAAATGTCGGAGGAAGATCTCCAAGCCGAGGGACTGGGAGGGGGCAGAATTGCAAATTTGTCCCATGTTCGCAGAAATGAGCCACTGTGCTCCTCCCAGACTTCTGCGTTGAGGCATGTGTAGTGGAGGGTACTGCCAAAGAGCCGTGTGTGAATCTGGGAGCTATACACCATACTGCAATCCTTTCCTATCTCTCCAGGATTGTGTGGCTGTTCTCTTGATGATCCAAGACCTAAAATGTTGAAGGGTGTGCATCGCTGATGTACTGTGTTGGTTAGCAAGAATTAAAAAGAAATGGAAAACTTCCTCTCCCTTCCCCTCTGCAAGGTGCAGGAAGGAAGTTTTCCATTTCTTAATATGGTTAAATGGCTTAAGCAAAGCATGGAAGAGGAGATAGGAGATAATGTTTTGTTTTTCCTTCCCTTTAAAGGAAAAGAAGATCGATAGCATGAATTAAAAAGAAATTAAAAAGAAATTGAAAACTTCCTCTCCTATCCCCGCTGCAAGGGGCAGGAAGGAAGCTTTCCACTTCTTAATATTGTTAAATGGCTTAAGCAAAGCATGGATGAGGAGACAGGAGATATTTTTTTTTGTTTTTCCTTCCCTTTAAAGGAAAAGAAGATTGGTAGAAAGAATTAAAAAGAAATTGAAAACTTCCTTTCCCTTCCCCTCTGCGAGGGGCAGGAAGGAAGTTTTCCATTTCTTAATATGGTTACATGGCTTGAGCAAAGCATGGAAGAGGAGGCAGGAGATTTTTTTCCCTTTCCTTTAAAGGAAAAGAAGATTGGTCTATCGATGGTTCTCAACCTTGGGTCCCCAGATGTTTGACAACAACTCCCAGAAATCCTAGCCAGCACAGCTCATGATGAAGGTTTCTGGGACACCTGTGGACCCAAGGTTGGAAACTACTAGCCTAGTTTCATTTAGCCTAAGCGTTTGGGGGCTGCAGCCAACTTCAGGCCTCTGACAGTGTGTGTTGCAAGCTACAAAAGTTTGTGCCCCATGGAAGCTTCTTAAAGGTGCCACAAGACACTTTTCAGTCCAAAAAAAATCAAAACCTAATACTCCCAGGCTGTGGTATGAAGGCACATCCAGGAACTCCGGCCTTCATGCCTTACTCATCACCCTCTTAGGGGCAAAGGGAGCTTTTCGCCCTTCTCGAGCCTCTCCACTGTTCCGGACTGATTTCCCAAATTCCTCTCTTTCCCCAGGAGGCGCATCCTGACCACGAAGATGTCTTGAAAGCTACGATGTCCTTCAAGTCACTTGTGGTAAGGTCTCAGAGCAGGAGGCTTGCCCTTCAGGGGGCACTCTCTCCCCGCTGAGAAAACGAAGTTGAGCAAAACAAACCACAGTTCATGGGAAAGTGAGGTTTCCCTCACGCCGCTTGTCTCTTTCATTGCAACCCACTTCCTTCCTGGGCAGAGAAAAAGGCAAACGACTCAGCCAGGAGGGAAGGCGGGAAGCCGGGAGCCGAGAAGGAGGTTGGGTTTCGCCGACAACAGAGGAAGACGTGGTGCTGAAGAAACTTGAGACTCACAGCGGGGGGAGAGTGACAGGAGAGTTGACTCTCTCAGAACTTAGGAAACAACCTCTTCGGACTCCGTATCCCAGTATCCCCCATCCAGCACGGCCATCAGCCATGCTGATGGGGGAATTCTGCGAGTGACAGTCTTTTAAAAAGTAACTTTTCCAAGACCAGGTACAGGTCCCGAGCCGTAAAACCAACCAGGTAATCTCGGGCTACTCAGAGTCCCTCCCTTTTTGAGACTGATCCCCCTCACAGGGCTGTTGTGAAGAGGGAACGGAGAGGAACGGAGCCGTGCCCGCAAAGGCAGGGTAGAAATTCACATCGTCAAATAATAAATCGACCCGGGTCCCAGATCTCTGGATCCGGTATTGCTTCGAATCCAAAGTGAAATGCCTCGTCTGTTTCTTTAATGTTCCTGGCCCAGCGGTTTACTCTAAACTTTCTCTTCTTTCTCACAGTCCCAGTGTCAGGAGATGAGGAAAAGAAAGCAGCTGGAGCTCCAGATTCTTTCAGAGACGATTCAGGGATGGGAAGGGGAAGATATCAAGACGATGGGCGACGTCTCCTACATGTCTCAAGTCATGGTCCAGTATGGAGGGAATGAGGTGAGATGGGGGTGGGGCTTCAGAGGGCCCATCATGAGGACTAGGGCCTTTAAACGGCCCGTCCTCACCTCCTCTGCTGAGCTAAAGAGGTGTTATGCAAAGGTCCAGCTCAAGCGTGGGCTTTTCCTTCCTTGTTTCAGGAGAAAGAAGAAAGATACTTCCTGCTGTTTCCAAATGTCCTGCTGATGCTTTCTGCGAGTCCTCGGATGAGTGGGTTTATGTATCAGGTGAGCGGAGTGCAATGGGGTACCGTAGCTATACTTTTTTTCCTTCCTCATTAAAAAGAAGAAGAAGGTGTGTTTTGCACCCATCTCTTCAAAATCTTGGTGGCTACAGTCTTGTAGACCAAACCCAACGAGGATGATGTGGCATCATCTGTAATGCATCATCTGTAATGAACCCTCCCAGATTTTTTTATGTCTGAAGGTCTCAAAAGTGGCTGCCCGGTCCCTCCTTAAGGTCGTGCTGCGCAGCTGTGCAGCTTGCCCAAGGCTACACAGGTGGAAGGACAGGTCATCCCATCATCCACGCACACTCCGGGTGATCTCGGCTGACAGTCTCATGGGAAGCCCAGTGGGGATTTGAACTAGAAATGCTTACCTGGGAGTTAATCTTGTTTACAAAAAAGCAAAAACAAAAACCCACTTGTTTTGAGTAGACAGTATGACCCAATAAATTGATGCAGGTTCACTCACCAAGATGCCTTTCATCCGGCCACAGCCCTAATATTTCCAGATTGCAAAAGCATTCATCGAAATGATTTCAAAGAACATGGATGTAATATTTTATACTCTTCTGTCGTTTTCCTTCTGCGGATGCAGGGGAAGCTCCCTCTGATGGGAATGACAGTGACGAAGCTGGAAGATACAGAAGGAAACGAGAACGCGTTTGAAATTTCAGGTCAGTGTGACGTCAGCAACCGAGATTCATGGGATGCTCAGAGCTTAAAATTGACTTTTAGGGTGCTCACCGTATGTATGTGCTATGAATTCATGACTCTATTAGTGGAATCATGGAGTTAAAAAAAAGTAGCCCTTGATAGATAAGTAGTTTTAAGTTTTGTCTAGTCTCATGTGAATATGATCTAATGACCATGATCCCCTCTCTGGGTAATTACAGGAGGACTCCCTCCTATCGGTATCTGCTGATTCATTTATTCATGGTCTGAGAATATTAGAAATATTAAAATAAAAATCCTAGAAATAAATATTTCTATGATTGCACTTACCAGAACTGGCCATTAGAGGGCACCAGAGACCATGGTATGAATAGTGTTGGCTAGAGAAATATATTTCCATGGTGTAAATACCAGAACTGGCCACTAGAGGCAGCCAGAGACCATGCTCTATATAGCTTTCCCTATGGAAACAATGCTCACTATAACCCATGTTTTTAGCAGCTTCCAAGGGGCTTGGAACTGATCCCCTGTGGCTCTTGGAGGTCTTTCTGCATTATTTTTTAAAAATTGAATCACTTGGCTTTTTTTCCTCTCTCGCAGGGGGTATGGTAGACCGGATCACAGTACACTGCAGCAGCGCCCAGGATCTACACGAGTGGATTGACCACCTGCCACAGCCGAGCAGAGGGACGACGTCCAGTGGCACCCTTTCCAAGACCCACTCGTGGAGTCCACACTCTGTAAGTCTGCTGCTCAGAACTCCTGTCTGTGTAGCAACCTGGGTCACAATGGGCTTGTGAGGCAACGCTCCATTCCCACATGCAGAGGGGTGGATGTGTAGCAGGAACTGGACTTGATCCCACAAAGGAAAGGAAGCTATTTTTCCAGATGCTTCTACAGTAGGATACACACACCCATCTGTGGGATCAATATCTGTGGTTTCACTCATTTGCTGCCTCAAAATATTAAATAAAAAAACTCAGAATACACATTTATATGTATTTCCACAATGTCGTTGCCAAAGCTGGCCACTGACCAAATTAGTTCGCATGAAAAAAGGAAGCGAGAAACTGTAAAACAAATAGTCCAAACCATTTTATTGTTTTCATTTTCATTTTCAATGTTCTAACAAAATTAAATATTTTGTGAAAACAAGGCAGAGCTGTTTTGGCAGGGAAGGAATGATTGGTTGGTACTGGATAGATTGACAGTCACTCCAGTCCAGAAAGGTCCCTCCCAGGGACACCTACTACAGGCAGCATGCGAGGCTGGAAAATCTCCAACAAGCATAAATCAGCAATAGGAATTCTGGTCATTACTGTACATTTGAAATCTGCCCCATAGCCAACGTTTTCTGGATGGCCCAGGAAAAAAACGATGAAACTCCCATTACATTGGTGTGCAGTATTGTTTTAATGAATTTTGTTAGCTACTTAGAGAGCCGTTGGGAGCAGGCTTACCAGATGAAAAGTAAGATAGAAATGATAAAAGCCAAACCAACCAAGCAGACTTAAAACAAAAACATAAGTTAACAAACAAATCCACTGTGTTATCAGACATTCAGCTCTTCCGGACAAGTTCGCGGCCCGCTGGAGCCACCCAAAATCCTTAAACCCTGGACCTTAAGCTGCCTCCGGCCGGCACCTCCTCTCAGACCGTCTGTGGCACTCAGCTATAAAGAGGTAACTGTCGTGCATTTGTAAAGTATGTCGTGTGTCGCCTCTTAAAGTTTGCTTTTACTGTATGCTCTTTTATTCTGCAACAGAATGTCCAAACAAGCAGCCAACTTAATGACAAAGTTACATCGCTTCTTTTTCTCTGCTACTGCAGCTCTGCAGACCCTCTTGAAAAAAGAGATATATGATCTGACTGTCCCAAGCTAGGCAATGGCTTCGTCTTATATCCATGCATGATGTTACAATATACCTGATCCAAGGTATTTTCCCCTCTAGTGGGACAGTCCACATACTATATATAATAATAATAATAATAATAATAATAATAATCAGGCACTGCCAAATCAGTTCTGTCTCACGGTGACCCTTTTCAGGGTTTTCCAGGTAGAGAGCATTCTTCTTTTCTTCTATGGGCAATCCTGGGGCTGTGCAGCTTGCTCAAGGCTACACAGGCTGGCTCTATTCCCAGTCGGGAATCGAACTCCCAGCCTCTGGATCTGCAGACGGATACCTAAACCACTGAGCTATCCGGACAGCTTGACTGCATTATAAAAGCAGCCACTCGGCCAAATATTTGTGGATGGATTTCGGGGTGGAGGGACATGATGCCTGACAGGGTGCTTCCACTTTTACAATTTAAAATTTTTTAAAATTTGCTTTTACAGAACCCTGCCCACCAGCATCATTACTGCTAGGTGTCCATGCTGATGAAAGGTTTTTTAAAAGTAACTTGTGTTTTTAAAGCGGTGCAGTGATTATTCGAATACAATTTTTTTAAAAAAAATCACATCCTCTGCTCCTTCACGGAGTTGAGGAAGTTATTAATGGTCTTATTAAGACGCTAGATAGTATTGGAAAATCAGACTAAGCCTCCCTTTTGGTTTGTTTCCAATGATCGCATGTGCTGGAAATGGACCAAACCTGCCAGCATAGATACAGGCTCAGAAAGGTACAGAAAGGACTATTCCAGGGACAAGCTGGTTTGCTCCAGCAAACATATCATCTAATTGCTGTCTTCAGGAGGGAACCAGCCTCTCCCTGCAGTGGATCAAACATCAGCGAAAACACGCATATAGTCAGCCTCCAGTTTAGTTGAATGCATTTTAGCCGTATCTGCTGGTATCAGTTTGAGATAAGAGAGAGTGAACATTTCCACTAAAGATGAGTCTGTTGCAGAGATGATAAACTGTTTTACCACTTACCTAAATAAATCTATGTTGTCTCAAAATGCAACATTCTGCAACTCATAGCCCACAGGAAACAGGGTGGGAAGATGTATTTGCATCATACAGGAAACGTGTCACAATCCCAGAACAGTGTGTGTCTGCAAACATAAATCATTCTTCCATCCTTCTTTTTTTAAAGTTACATACTCACTTTGCACTTGGTTCGTGTTGTATTCTAAGCTCCCGGTTGTGGGTCATGACCTACCTCTTGCATGAAAGTGTTCACAGCTTTTGTGAAACCCACGGGGAAGGGAAGGAATTAATGGTTGCTGCTGAAATGTTCTTATGTAATGCCTTTATTTATTTATTTATTCAATTTCTACCCCGCCCCTCTAGACAAGATTCTTAAAGATGTCGGCTACATTCGATGGATGGATGGATGGATGGATGGATGGATGGATGGATGGCTAGCTCAGTGGTTAAGGTGGCTAAGAAGCCAGAGGTTGGGAGTTCAATTCCCCACAGTGCCTCCTGTGAGTAGAGCCAGCCTTGATAGCCTTGGGCAAACTGTGCAGTCCCAGGGTGCCCCTAGAGGAAGGAATGGGTAAAGCACTTCTGAGTATTCTCTACCTGGAAAACCGTGAAAGGGTTCCATGTCAGAATTCCATAAGTCAGAATTGATTTGATGGCACATGGTTAATACATTATTTGTCTGTCTATTGATTGATCAATGGATATCTATCTATCTATCTATCTATCTGTCTATCTATCTATCTATCTATCTATCTATCTATCTATCTATCTATCTATCTATCTATCTATCTATCTATCTATCTATCTATCTATCTAT